ATAGGTAGTAATTTGGACCAGGTAATTAGTTGGCTTTTGCCACCGGTGCTTTTACATGCATCAAAAAAGGAGGTAGGTTTGCTTTAACAAAAATTAGGGACTGATCAGCCAATGCATTTTTCCAGCCTGAAGGTGATCACGTTATTATTTCATAAACAGTAATTCAAATTGGTGAAGACAAATTAATGGCAGGTGCTGTCGAACAAGAAACATCAAGGCAGATATTGTGGTTGACTTTCCCTGGGACTGCGATTGCTAAAGCACTGGGGACATTCCAAACCCAATGTATCCAAAATGTGCACCCTCTCCGTGCCACAGGCATGAGGCTTTTGTAGAACCTGATCATGGGCTCCAGCATGCTTCCCCACATTTCGGAAAACAAATTACTTGGTGTTAGCCACAACACTGGTTGTCCTGGGCTGGTAACTGCTATTAGGACAGAGGTGGAATAAATATCTGTCAGATCTCCAATGTGAAAGACAAATCTTACAGAGGGTTTGACAGCACTATCTCGTTTACTTCTTGCCTTCTAAATAAACGTAGGATACAGGGCATCAAATTGCTGCTACAGGCTCCCCTCTCCTACAAACTAATTAAAATTCAGGATGCTGGGGTTGATTTCCATTGTCCTTTCCTCATTCTAAATACCAAAGGTAACACTTGTTATGAGGTATCCCCTGTAGCTCTTCGTCTTGTCAATCCTTTCGTCCATTCATCAGCTACTAATGACCTCTCAATTAAACCCAAATGACTACTTTCGGTTGGATAGACTGAAGGAGGCAACCTTTTGTTCTAGAAGATGCCGTTGGTGATTCGTTCAACACGAGGCATAGATTTTATGAATTCGTCGTCTATTAATGCCTTTTAAGAAACCTCATACAAATTTGTTACTTTAGCCTGGTTATATATACCGATTTCCTCTGATTCAACAGATGGACATGCGTCACTATTACATTCTCATTGCCTGGGCAACTCATTAAGCTATTGTACATCTACACTTAGGCGTCGCTTTCTTCTGTTATGCAAGTTATTAACTAATCTCACTTGTAGAAGATTTCCTTCACTACAAAATTCTTGGACTGATAAATAGGTGGGTAATAACGCAAAGACACATTTTGATAGATGTGAAAATTCCATTAAAGTATGTCAAAGCAGCATTTAAAAATTCTGATCCCGTGTCAAAGAAGTTGACGACACAGATTAAACTGACTCTTACACTTTTATCCGAATCACTGCATTTTTGGCTTTTTAAAGAAGGGAATTGCATGAACAGGTAAGTTTGGACTCAACCTGGTCAGCAAATTTGGATTTCGTTTTTCCCACCCAAATCCGGAGGCAGATGGGAGTTACGTGTGACATTCAGTTGACTGTAATAGTCAGTCATGTACCCAAAAATCCTACCCTGACTGAAACATTCACCCTTATATTTGTTTAACAAAACTAGTCATAAAAAGCTTCTGCAACTGACGGACTGCATTGTAAATGCCTACTAACCTTCAAACGAGCGCACCGCAGATAGTTTTGTAAAATGATACAAAATTCCTTGTACTGACTGACTTACGCTAGGTTTCCAGACACATTTCATGCCACTTGGGTTGGCAAAGGGATAACCTAGACTGTACAGCGCTCCTTCGAATTCAAAAGTATTTGCAGCATCTGACGCACACAGATCTAGAATGTGGACTATCAACTTGGAACCTCCAATCATCAAAATTGCAAAGAACCAAGTGTTTTGGGTTCCATATGTTAGACAATTGCTTAGCACATTCAGTCTCCTGGGAATTAAGTGGGTGACATGTCTTTAATCCCCGAATACTGTTGTGAGATTGAAGGAACTGAAATTTTAGTTGAAATCCAGCAGCCGTCTCCACCTCATCCGTACCAAAGGACAGAAAGAGGGCTTTTGCATCGAGACGTGGGATCAGTGGACCCGGAATGCAGTCATTACAAAACAAATGCCTTTGTCTGTGCTCCTGAACTCGCGTAACTGCGAAGTCGCTAGAGCTGAGTTGCGGTGTTGGGCGTGGAAGGCATGGACTAGCATCGACCAACTTCCAATCCTTTTATTTTTGCAAAACAACTAAACTGATCCATTTGCAACATGATTTGCAACAAGAATTCGCCATCATGTGCGAATACCGTTTATGGACATTTTGTTGAAATAATCGCAATGCAACATTAAGTTCTCCATCGAGGAGAAGAAGGCAAAAATCCTGCACTTTTGTCAATAACCTGTGCATCCAATATATTGACAAGATATTCAACTTTTATCTACCGATATGCCTGTCAAACCTGTCCGATTTCCCCCTCTAGCATTTCCGCTTTCTGCTAATACGTCAGTTGGGAATTAGCTAAAACAGGATTAAAAAGGTTCCAGTTCCAAAAGGAGCTTTTAATTCACATAAGTTATATTAGCGGGTTAGATGAGCGGAAGGCATCGAATCACCAGATGCAAACATGTAGAAGACATGGAATAGCATATTAATGTCAGTCTTCCCACTGGCACTGAATATGAGAGTCAGCTTCGAGCCCAGGGAAAAGATTGCACAGCTATCCACATCACTTTTTGTCTTGATTGCGCCCAAGTAGTCGCCACATCACTCATCGATCACCACTTATCACACCCTAATCCACTTCAACACATATAACCTAAGCCACTTCACCCCACACCATCCCTCACCATCCCACACCATCTTATCCCCTCATCTATTCCAATCACACTCGCCTCATGGTAAGGTGCATCTAACCTCCGTCCACGAAAAAGCGCTTTAATGCCCTCGCTGCCATCCACTTCCCCTAATTGGACAATAATACCCACAAATGGACTTTAAATATCCCGCTAACCATTGGGAAGTCAAGGCCAATCAAAATGTCGTAAATACGCACCTAGTGGACCACTCTGTGTCCCTAGCAGTCAAGTAGCAGATGTTTATCACACACCGCAATGCCCCAGCTTACTCATACTATTTGGTATTAAAGACTTCCATGCTGAAACCTTTACTTTTCTTTGACTAATCGAAGTGTAAACTCGATAGGATTACATCCGTGTTCATGCACGTATATGGTGCAGTTAATTTCACATTGAGCAGCCATATGTCATGTTCTTCCTCGGTTTCATGTCAATTATCAGATGGCAATTAAATCAGCTTACTGACAGACATTTGGGAATTATTCATCCTCACTTTCACTGTGTATGTGCACAGGCGTCAAGGGCATCACCAATTCACACACATGGACTT